CAAGCAATCTTTTTTTACTAGATTTTATTTATTTTCTATTTTTACGCTCCAGCATTTAAGAAATAAGTAAATAGGACAACCTTATTGGGCCCTGTGAATTAGCACACTTGCAGGGTACATTAGCAGTTGGACATTTTACAGCAGGAGTGACTTGTGTGCAGCAGTGATTTTTCTGGGCTGTTACAGGCTACCATGGGTAAGAAGCAGTGGTTTGTTGGGTTTTTTTTTTTAACAGAAGTACCAAAAGTGATGTAGAGTACACTTCCAGTAGATTTGTAGCAAATCTGCGTAGCTGCTTACTGATTTTAAATTCTGCAGAAGGTTGCTTTGCAGAGGATGCCACAGATCCAGAAAATCTTTTAAAAGATACAGAGCAGGCTGTTACAATAGCCCCAGCTCTGCAGCTCCTGGGGTGCAACTGCTGTTGATAATATTCCCTGGCTTCTGCAGCTGCAATTCGCTGGTTTCTCGCAATAGCTTTCCCCAGCCCTTGGCTGGGAAGAGGCTGCTGCCTGTAGGTTTCTCCCAAGCAATGGGAGCCTGGCATTGACTTGCTGTTTCAGGCCTCCTCTTAAACCAGTCATAAAAGCTGCTTGGGTTAGAAGGGCACAGAAGGCCTTGCAAGGCGGGTACAAGCTTGAAGTAGTAGTAGCATCTTATCCCAAGTGGGTATGTCTTCTTTCAGTCCTCGGGGGAGAAAATGAGGCATCAAAGTGTCTTGGATGTTGCATCTTCAACAGTACTTAGAGGTGTCATAACAAATACTGGCTTTTACAGTTGGGTTGTGATTTAGAATTCTATTTCTACTCAGTGTCTCAAACCCTTTACTGACCAGGAATGAGTTGTCTTGTGTTGTTTTGATGGAGAATGCAGAAGGTGTTGTCGTTTGACCTGATGGAAATTTGAATGCTCTTTTCCGCAGATGCAGTGTTAGCGCATTACAGTGTTGCTGTGCTACGTGACAGATACACTGATAAACAACGAGTGAGAGTCCTTTTGGTTTGGGTTCTGGACAAACACGCCAAGGAGGTAGAATTTACCTTTGTGAGTTATTGTAATAAAGTATAAATTTGGAGGAAGGAGCATTATTAAGAGTCTCTACTTAGCAAAACTTGAGGAGACAGCAGATCTTGTCCAAACTCGCATAACAAGAAAGCCAAGAAAGAATCAAATCTCCTGACTGCATTCTGTGCATTCATCATCATGACGCCGTTCCTCTGGGGTTTAATTTTTTCCCTTAAACAGGGAAAATGGAGGATCTCTTTAGTCCCTGGGGTGCCACGGTATGGTCTCCCGCTACTCTTGGGCCTTCTGCTTTCAGCACTGGAATGTTTCTGTTCTTGTCACTTGCTCAAGGATTTAAGCCATTTATTTTGTTTGTTTATAATAGAGTTCTGGTGGGAAGGCAGATGTTATGTGGAAAGCTATTTTATGGATTTTTTTTATCCCCATTACATGGAAACTCATAGACCACCAGTAGCAAGTAGCTATTAGGCATCAGCTTTGAGATACTGGCATTTTTAGAAAAGGAAATGTATTAGTTCTTGTAAGCAGCTTTGCAGCAAAAACAATGATTTCTTGGCATGCTTTGGCTTGGTGTTTAAAATGGACATGAGTATGTCTTTGTTTCTATGTAGTCATTTGACCTTTTGAAATATTGGTATTTTAGGAAATGGTCTGTATTTGTTCATGTCTGACAATGAACAGCTGACTTGAGTTCCCAGAATATGTTGTCTAAGCAATACTTAGCTATGAAGAGATGGTTCTAAATAAATCTCATTTGAATGCCTGTATTCAAAATTAAAAATCAAGGTTTTAACTTTCACTCATCTTTCTTTACCTTGGCATCTCAGGGTACTTCAAGGAACTTAGGAACTAAATTGTATGCTATTATGCTGGTGGAATAGCTGAAAAGGGCAGGTCTTTGAGTTCTGAAGAATTCCTGTTTCAAAATATAATATTCAAGATCTGGCCTTTATCTCTCTTCTGCTGATATTTTCCAGCACTGATTTCAAAACAGGCTGAATTAATAAATTCTTCAGATTTAGGAGGAAACAAGTTAATATATTAATGTTTTATCAGGAAACAGTCCTAATTGTGGTATCCATGCACTTGTGAAGACTAGAAACCTTCTTACTCTTGGATATGTTATTCTCGCCAAGAATCTGTAGGCTTGCAAATTGCCAAAGCCACATGTGTTGAGAGAGCAAAGTAAACACTGTAGAAAGGCAATTTTTGCATTTTCTTTCTGTTCAGCCAAAGAGATTAGACATAGATGGAAAACACTTTCCTCCTTAGGGGGGAGGATGACCACAGAACTAGAACAATTTTTATTTTTTTATTTTTAATTGGAAGAAAATATATCTAAGCACACACTGCAGCATGTGTTTGAAAGAAGCAAAAATCTTTGGGATTTTCTCAGCAGTCCGTATCTGAATGCCTTTGGGTGTGCTTCCCTCCTGGGCTGCGGTGTGAGGCAGGTTGGAGTTGTCCCTCTTTTGAGTTCCAGCCAGGCTGCCAAGATGTGAGGCACCTCCAGGCCTGTTCCCCCTCGCAGCACACAGCATGGGCTCTTGGTGTGAAACCAGCTTGTTTCTAGGATATTTGGTCTGTTCTGGGCTCAGATGCATGGCGGGGGGAAAATGTTTTACAGAAGGTTTCTGGACAGTTCCAAAGGAGAGGAGGAAGTCTGCAAACCCGGACAGCGTTGTTCAGAAATGGCGAGCCTTGAGCCCAATTAGTGAAGTATTATGTTTCATTGTACCAGCAGTGGTATGATGAATTGTCAGCAGTGGCTGCTTCTGTTTCATCCTGTGGGTAGTAAACACTACAAGGATGACCTACGAGAGTCTTTGGAAGCTGCGTACTACTTGTTTTATCTGTGCAGCCTAGGTTGTTCAACTCTGTTTTAAATGGGACAGAAAATGCTGCATGAGTTCACAGCTTGCCTGTGCATATGCATGCCATGGAGAATGGGAAATCTTCCTCTCCTAACTTTTTGCTTAGGACCATTTAGCAGAAAATTGCTTTAGACATGACAGTTTGATAAGGAAGGGTTGCAGCAATTAATATTTTTAATTGGTGACTGCAGCTCTGGAGCTGATTCATTGTTCTGCTGAACGAGTTGTGATAGTTTCACTGGGCCAGCCCTTGGCCAGCAGCCAACACAGCCGCTCACCCACTTCCCCCCCACCCCCAGGGGACAGGGGAGAGGATTAGGGGCAATGATAAAGAGGCTTGTAGGTTGAGATAACCATTTAATAATAAAAATAAAAGAAAACTTAAAATAATACTAATATTAAAATAGTAGTGATAATGATAACAGTAGCAAAGTATACAAACAAGTGATACCCAGTGCAACTGCTCACCACCCGCCAACCAAGCCTGGCACGTTCCCAGATAATGATCCCAGAGGAGTGACAATCCTGAACCGAAACCGCAATCCCGGGAGAGTGAGAGCCCAAGTGAAAACCAGAGAGAGCTGAAAGAGGAAGAGACCCTCACTAATATACTGGACATGATGTGATATGATATGGAATATCCCATTGGCATATTCAAATGATAATTTAGCTTATTGATATAAATATCCCTCACCCCCTTAAATCTTGTGCTTGTAGACTAACAGAACATGAAGTCCTTCACTTCCGGTGACCAAAATGCAAACACTGGGATGTTCTCAGTGTCTCTCTCATAACAAGTCCCGGGCTGAAAAGCAAAATGCAGCACTATTCTAACTACTGAAAAAGAAACCCAGCTCTGTTCCAGCTAAAAATCAGGATATGAGTAACTCAGGCTCCTTGTTCCTCTGTTCCCACTTGAAAATGCATGTTACAGCACTTCCCTTCGAGAAAAATTGAAGGGGAAAATCCAAATAGTGATTGCAAGGTGCTGAGGTATCACTGCAAAAAAGTTATTTAAAATCTTACATCTATGTAAAAAACACTGCTTTTCTTCTGTAGTTACTAGCAGCTGTAATCCAGATAACGGGAACCTGTGGCTTTTGTGTACAGCCTTTACAGCCTCCCAGCAAGTCCCTGCTTATTGGAAAATCATGCTTTACCAGCTGTTATTTATTTAATGGTTGTGGAAAGAGATACCAAACACTTGGGTTTTAATTAATCTTTGATCAGTATCTGCAGGCAGAGTGGAATGGGGTTTTGGGATTTTTTGCCACTCGAGTGTATTTGAATGCAGCCCTTGCAGCTGGAGGGAGGTGTAGAGAGCTGCAGCGGCGGTAGGCTGGGCAAAGGCAGGTTCGTTGTGTGGTAATCGTGGGGTACAGTATCGGTCTTCGTTCAGCTTGGTGGTGAATGGGACCTAACAGAGTAAAACACCACATTACTCCATCTGCTTTCCAAGGGTAATGGCAAGTACGTTTAGAATCTGGAAATGAAAGTTATGCTTCATGTCTGCTGAGGAACCACGGCAGGACTTTGATGGCCTTGAATCCTGACAGTAAAATCTCTCCTTTGACACAAATCTGTCAGAGGTTATTAGCCTTCAGGTTTCTTCTCTCTGAAGCTCTTCTGTGCCTGAGGCTTTGAAGTGATGGTGTGAAGCTCCTCCTTGGGTGAGGGAGCACAGTCCAGCCCCAGCCTTGCCTTTACATGGTTTTGCATGAGTGCCTAAGGGCTGCAGCCCAGCTCGTGTGACATTTGCCATGCAGATGGAGTTGGTTTTTCATGAACATCTGTGTCCTTTTCCCTTTCCCTCCCCCAACTGAATTAGTCACAGAAATATGGTACAATTGGGCTTTCTTTTAAAAAATATTTGTAAGAGGCTTTCAGTTTTCTAGAAATTGCTGCTTGGTAGCCAACAGTGATTGTTGAGAGAGATCTAAAAGGTGTTTCAGAGTGTATCTGCGTATCTATTCATTACTACGATTAGGCTTTTTGTTTGTTTGTTTTTGCATAAGTATTAAATGGGAGAATAATATATAAGCAAAAAAAGTATGTTAAAAAGAAAAATCCATGATAATTTTTTTTGTTTTCCTTCAACAGACGTACATTGGCAGCGTGGTGATATCGATAAACCCCTACAGACCTCTACCCATTTATACTCCAGAGAAAGTGGAAGAATACAGAAACCGAAACTTTTACGAACTCAGTCCTCACATGTAAGTACAGGGAAGAAGTTTTAGTTTTCACTCTGTCCTGAAACAGATGGTACCAGCTGTCTCTCTCATCAAAAAGTCTATGTTGGTTAAAGCAAATAAAACAAAAATCATACCACCACTCCCCCAAAATGAATTTTTGTTAGTTCATCCTTATTTTAAAGATAAGTCAAAATGAGTTACTCTTTCTGTTTCACGTCTTTAGATCTTGGTATGTGCATTTCAGAACATTTTCCTGTAATTATTAGCAGTAGCCTTTATTGTTGTATTGTAAAGTAAGGAGTCTGTTTTCAGAGAAATCTGTTTCTTTCAAAGTCCAGATTGCCTTGTGAAAGCTCCTAGGTGTTAAAAATGTTTGAGTCATATGGTGTTACTTTTGATATCTAAAACTCTTAATTTCTTTTTGCACACTGCAAAAAATGGGAAAACCCTCATGACGAATGCAGGAACGTATTGGATATATCTGAACGGTAACTGTAGAAAAATAAAAGCTTCGTCTCCTCTCTGCTGGGTGGAAGTGAGCCCATTCTAAGAGGGCAGCCATAGTGCCATAAATATATAATGCAAATTTTAAGGATAAAATATATAGCATATATACAAACATATAAGATTGCAAAATCTGATTTGCATACGATGTAAATTCTGAGTCTAAATTTAGGAATAGAAGGCTAGGAAGTAGGTATAATCTCTTATTCTGGCTTTCATTCACCTTCTGTAATTCCTCCACAGGGGTGCGTATTGCAAAGAATTCAAAGGCTTTGCCTTGAGGTTACAGGGAACTGACAGGACCTGTATTATTTGGGCCTGGTCAGAATTTCTGAGAGTAATGGAACGTGGTTAAGCTCTGTCCATAATAGGACAAGACTTTAATCACAGGTGTGGGTGGTACAGCTAAAAATTAGGTACCTTGTCTTCAAGATTGGTATGTTGCACTAATTGTTTTATCTTGTTAGACATCATAGTAATGAGATTTTAGCAAGTTGTTCCTCCCCTTGAGGTGACGCTGGGATAGAGAAATGTTTCCAGTGTGTTTTGAGGTTGCCACCTGACTTTGCAGTCACGTATTCAAGAGATTTGACTTGAGTGATCAGCGTCTGGATAAGTGTCTAAACATGGTCATTGTGCATTCTTCCTTCAGTGTTAGCTTTTAGGTTAAAAGTAAATTATGAGTGGAAAGTGTTCTGGAAGTTATTTTGTTCTGATTAATTTTTTATCTTCACACTTCATATGTAACTTTTCCAGATACATTGGCTGAAATGCAGACAGCCAGTTAATCAGATCAAATAAGCTTCTGGTGGTTCTTGACCCTCTTGGATCTGAACTCTGGCTATGTTCAGGTTTTCTTTCTTCGCAGTTTTGTTTAGCAAGCACAATTGCTTGCTAAATTAACACAGTTGCGTACTAAAAGAACTTTCTGCTCTGCTGACTTTGTTCAGCTGCATCAAGTTTGCTGTCATATGATGGAGGATTTTAAAAATAAAATCTGGGAGTTACAGTTTGACATTCTGAAAGTCAGTACTATGTACTTGGTTGCATGTTTAATCAAGTACATAGTAATATATTGATCTCTGCATTTTTCCATCTCTCAAGAGGTGGTTTTGCAAAATAGAAATGGTCAGTAATATTTCTTGTATGTATTATGAGAGTCTTAACTTGGTAGAAAAATTTTCATAATCATCATTCATCACTAATGACAGTAACTGTATGGTCAGGCTGCCATCGCACAACAAGACTTTCTGGAGTGCAAACGCTAGAAATCCACTTTAAGTGCCATAGTTTGAAGTGAGAAAATGTTGAATTTTAACTTATGTCAGGAGACCTCAACTGTATGATGGCAATAGATTTTCTTTGCAAGTTTGGATAGAGAGCCAAGTCATGAAAAGGGTACAGCTAATTTGTCTTGGACAGATATGATCTCTCCACAAATTTTCTTTATTTGGTTTTGCTTCTGTATGAAAAATTTGTCTTCTGACACTGCTAAGTAGACTATGCATCTTTAAAAAGATATAATTACAAAATGACCTTTTTTCATGGTTTCTTTTACAGATACAGTGTTTATTTTCAAACTGTAGAGGTATAAAATGATCTTACCTTATGGTGACCTTGCTTCCCTTCCCACCTGTCTATAGATGCTTAAGGGAGTGGCTTTTGTCTCTGCTAAAATTGATAAACTTCTCACAATCTTTAAAAGATAGTTTAAAATGTAGGTATCTAAAATAAGGGCTGTGTAGGCTGCCTTACACCATCTCTGACAAGCCTCAACAACCTTTCATCCCCTTTAATATATAGTGCCTTGTGCTATAGCCTAAGGATTCATGCCAGTTCAGTTGTTCACTCTGTGAACATAGAACTGGTACTTGAATGCTGTTTAATAGACCATGAGGTGAGCTGACAGGGTGACCATATGGTCCCACTGCAGCCAAGCCTAGACTGATCGCCAGTGGGGTCCTTGCCTACCACACTGGTCAGTATGGGCTAAGAACTGGGTTTGAGACAGAGCCAGCATCATCCCAGCCTTGGAGCTTGCAGCTAATTCTAGGGTTGCTTGATCTTGGGAGTAGCAGGCCACTGTTCAAAGCAGAGTTCAGGCATATCTGGGGAGGTTGCTACACTTCCACAGAGACCTTGCTATCTTCAAGGTGGTTTTTTTTTTTAAGCTGCTCAGGAACTTTAATGAAGAGATGCTGTGAGACAAATTGCAATTTGTGGTATTTCATCTGACATGGTGTAAAGAAACCCTCGCATTGATTTGTGGAGATGTTCTTACCTATTTTTCTTTGATGTGTAAATCTCAGTTGAGCCATGGCTTCTTCAGAAGAATTGATTCTAGGTAAGCCCACTGCACCATTTAACTGTGCTTTGGGAAGACTTTTGGTTCCTATTGTGTAATCCTGGGCAAAGCAAAACTCTTGACCACTTGTGAGGAAACTAATGCATATAACCTAGAAAGTGTGTCTAGAAATGAAATTATATATAGTGTGTTTCTTATTTCAACATCTCTTTTGTAACAATATTCAGTCTAATTTTGTTACTAGTTATAGCTGGAAAAATGCAAACAATTTATTGCAGAAAATTTCTAGCGGTGGTTTGATTTGAGATACATATAAAACCCAGGTCTGTATGACACAAACACTCTTCCATCAGAAATAAACGTACTCTCGCCTGTTGGCATGACAGCTCATATTCTCCAAGGTCTGTCATTTTGGAGAGAACCTTCAGGTTTGGGAAACCCAGGTTTTAAGTGTCAGTGTCTCTGGAGCAGACTGCCATGGGACATTCCCAGAGCTGCAGCTCTCTGTGGGAGCTCCTGGGGAATGAGGAATCTAAATTATGTTTTGCTTATTTTCCAGTAGCTTTGTATGGCCTTATGTCGATGCTCGAGGTATGTGCAAGTATTTCAGTGGGATAGATTGGTGTAGGGAGGGTGTGCTTGAGAGTGCCAAATGTCCCAGTAAAACAGCAGGCTTGGTGAGCAAATGAAAATAGAAGGAAAAAGAGAGAGAAGTATATAACGACATGAAGGAGATCCATACCTAGATTTTTTTTTTTTCCCCTTATATGGTCATCATTGAAGGAAACATATACCCATGGGAGTGAAAAATCTGTTCACATGTTTTCTTAACCCTAATCTGAAAGACAAGGGAGTGAGCACCTAGTCATCTGCTCTGTGTTTCCTCAAGAAAGTCTGTGAGAGTGACTGATGCTTTCAGTGACGCTAGTTAAGACTTAATTGCAGGCTTTGGGTGGCTTTTTACTTTTAATGTTCTTTGGAAACTATAGAGTAAGGCCACGGACACATTTGGAAGGGGCAGCCAAACTGAATTTCTAGGAGAAAGTTTCTGGTTCAGATGGTTTTGGATAGTGTTACACCTGATAAAATTTGATCAAAGAGGTTTTATTTTAATAGTTCATTCCTCTCTAAATATACCACTGTTGTTGTGGCACCATGTAATAAAGTGTCACTGTTCTAGGTCTCCTGGAATGCTTGTTTTCATAGTCTGTGGCTATTTACATAGCTGTAATAAGAAGTTTACCAAGCTTTTTAATTGTTATTTTGTTTGGTTTTTTCCCCAATGTTTTTTTAATCTTGCTGGTTTTGTCTTTCTGTGCAAGGCAGGATCAAACTTGTCTCTGACTTGACAGGGCAGAGTATGACATTTCATTGTTAAAACACTTTGCTGCTTGATTTCTGCAGTCCTTATACTTCTGTTCTTCTCTTTCAGTTGATGTAATTACTCTTTCAGTTGATGTAATTGCTGTTTTGCTTACCTTGTGGGTAAGCTAGACATGAGAGAGAGAACCAAGCTGTCCATCTTGCTAATTTACATTGGCTTCTGCCAGTGACAAAGACAGCTGCTGGCATCTTTGAAGTGAAGGCAATAGGAAAGAAATAGCTTATCATACCATTTATTTGTAACCATCATGCCATATCACTTTCCTACCAGTGAGAGATTTACTTTAAGGGATTGCAGAGTAGGTGCTTTCTTGCATTTCCTATCTTAACATCAAATCCTGGCTACAAGCAGCTCTCCATCTCTGGGAGGTAGGGTGGCATAGGGCTTTTTGCTCCCCTTTATGTTCTGACACGCCTTACCTGCTTGCTTTAGAGAATCTTCAAGCTGAGGGACAAAGTAGGAAGTGGCAAGTGTACTGCTAATGGCAAGCTACAGGCAAATAAGAGTTCAGAGTCAACATGCGTTTTTTTAGCTATGTACTGAAGTATTTATGATGCATAACTGGGAAGGCAGAAAAATATCTGAAGATAGTTTATCATGCATCTATTGCATTCCACTTACGCAATTTTGCTATGTATTTTATTTACTTATTATTAGTTCTTTTAAGTAAAATATTTCTGAAGAGACAATAGTTTTGCATTAAAAGCTTTCAAATTTAGAGAGACTTAAACTTTTGCAGGCAACTCCGGAAAACCAGCCTGACATTATATAGGATGCAAGCGCAAAGATATCAACCTGATGCCTATTAAAATGCAAGAATGAGGAAGT